GATGTTTCTTCTGCTACTATAACCAATATATTTACTAAATTCATGTACTTAGTAACACAATAATAACACCAAACGGCTAATGACTCCCTCTCTTTTCTATTATGTTTATACTGACATACCCCTCATCTTGTCTGTGGAGTATCCACGTGGTATCCATGGGCTTCTGCTTCTTATTAATGTTTATAGGGTGGCCCTCAGCTGGCATCCAAGTTAAATACTCACTGCTGCCACCTAGGGGACTAAAGTATGAAACAGTAGAAAATAGTAACAACATTTTGATTGCAACACGCCAAATCCAAATTTTTGTCCACTGAGATTAGATTAATGATTAATGATGTCCCTCTGAATTAGTTTCTTCTAAACATGTCGTGGAGTCTAATGGCTGTAAATCAAAGGTGTTTTAAATGTCCTCTCACCTCTTCATTTTAAAAATGCCTGGAGAAAAGCATCCAATCCTCCTAACCTGTAAGGACAACATTAGCCTGATTTGTGTGGCGATACAAACAAATCATGCTCATAATATTATCATAGTAACTAGGGCTGGGTATTTTCGCCAAAGTTCTGAATTGATTCGATTTTTATTCATACAGTTCTAAATCGATTAATTTCGATTCGATCTGTTTTTACAATAATGAAAGTGGTTCAACCGTGCTTCATGTATTTTGTTTTTTCCTGTCACATTAAACACAAAGTGCAAACTTGTAAATCAGACAGTTTAAACCTGAGATGTGAACAAAACTGTCTCATAAGTGCAAACTTGTTTGTGAAAAGTGAAAAAGTGAAGCCTCACTCGAGCAAGCAGATGTGACACAGCAGACATGCATGAGCTGCATTAACTTCAATGCACAAACCATATTTGCAGCGTTGTCTGTATCAACTACAGGGTGTTTGCTGGTCAGCCCCCATTTGTTAATGTCTTCAGTCAACCTATTGGCTATATTTGCAGCTGTCTGGCTTGAAGTCATCTTGAGTGCATCTTTCCTGCTCATTTGAATGTGAACGTCACACGGGTCACTATAAAATGAATCGATCTCATTCCCTAGACATCGATTTTGCAAAAATGTAAAGTAATCGATTTAAAATAGATTTGTTTTACCCAACCCTAATAGTAACCATTACTACAAATTAAAATAAGAAAAGCTGTTTCTCAATCTGTGTACTTGTGCGTTCTCATGTGCTCGTGAAACGTCATCAGCCCTAGTACTGTTTTAATATTACAAGAACAGCAGACCGAGAATGAACAAAGTCCCCGGATGTCCCCCCTCCCTATTTACCCAGCATGCATCAGAGCAGACTTGTCCGTTCTTGAGATTGACAGCTGTCCCAGCATGCACTGCGGCAGCAGCAGCTTTCAATGGAGTATTAAGTTAAAAGTTCTCTTTTCTGTTGCTGTTGTTCAATAAAAGTTTTATTGCTTAATTTAAAACAGAATTTCCAAAGTTGAGAGGACCGCTGGGTAACGGCAGCCAGGGCTAACCGCAGCCCGTCTGCAGCAGCTCTCTCTCTGCCATCCGTGTGTGAAGAATTATTGCTCTGACGGCAAGTTTTTTTGTTTTATTTGGCGAAATGTTCATCTGATTTCTGTTTATCTGACTGTGTTCATTATTATTCCCCCAATAAATGAAAAGAGTAAGAACTTATTATTTAGAGATTATTAATAACAGGAGGTGAAATTGCAGCTTCAGATGAGCCGAGCTTGTGGGGGACGTCACGAGTACGCTTCTGTTCCAATTGACCCATATTTATGCTGCGTGCTTCCTGTCTCACAGAGTCAATGGCGTAACTATCGGTAAGCAGAGACTGCAGGTGCTTAGGGGCCTCTGACCTCTTAGGTGCTCTGTCACTGACACCTGGTTGAGCCCTATGCAATTGTGGACTAGGATGTCTAGTTGCAGATGTAATGGTCCGAAAAATTACTCTTAAACCTACCTGATACCAGAATGACTTACTTATTTACACCGCAACACATGGCAGATTTCAACATGATGGTGAGCTGTTTAAACACAACACCAATAGCAAAGCAGACAGTGGTACTTTGAATTACTATGTTAATAACTGTGTATAGTTCATTAAACAGTTGGTAAAAAATACACCCCTATAATGTGTTTCAAACCGCAATAACGATCTTAAAAGAACGATGAATTAGAGTATTTTATTTTTTACAATACGACTTGGAATTATGGGTAATTGTTATGTGCTTGGGGCACATTATGATTTTTGTCTATTTCTTTTCTTTGTTTTCTTACAGACTTTAGTTGAAGGATCTTTTGTTAATATATTTTGGG